TACTACTACTATGTATTGTGCTTGTAATAACCTCGCCTCGAGTGAGTCGTATTGTGCTTGTGTGTGTTTTTTGTTGTCTCTCTTTGCAGATCAAATTATCCTACCCCGGTTCGATTCTTAAATTCACTCACCAAGCCCAAGCGGTAACATCAATCTACCCCTTTCTTACGCCATTGAGGGCAATGCGGAGTTTAAGTGTGTGGGGGGGGGGGGGGGTAGTCTACTATTATGTTTGTGTGAGTGAGATGTTGCTTGGAGCCTTTTGTACGCCCAAATTTCAAAAATTTGAGGGCTCCAAGTAACGTTTGCATGTTCAAAGTGGCCGGATGGTGGGAAATTCTCGTGTTTGTGCATTGATCTTAAATTTTTGCATGTGATCGAGTATATCCTATGATGATGACTGAGAAGTTCATTAAGATAGGGCAAAATTTTAGTTCTTAAGTGTGCATAAATGAATGGATGTCTTGACTTGATCACTTGTTGTTTATAATTTCCGTGCATCGTGTTTGTAAATTGGAATAGATGGTTGGGTAACTAGGTAGCCTGTGAGCTTTGAGCCATTCGTTTCTTTCGGTGTGATACTTCCCTCTTACCATGGCGTGTAGCATCACAGTTGTCACTAGCAAGTATGATGGAGGCACAGAATGATTCCACGCCCAAAAGTTGATTGTCCTAAAATGCATCATCCCTTAGTCAACCCCTTTGAGCCTTGTGACTCTGTGGGTCGTTCTCAATTTAGGAGCTTCCTTCGGTTGAGCTTAAAGGTGTTAGTAGAACGACCCCAAAATCCTTTCTTCGTGTCTAAACATGAGTCGCCCGTGTGTCCCGGAGCTGTTACCGTTGAGTTTCCATAGAGGTTCTACATAGGAGGTTTGTGTGTGGTTCTTTCTAGGAATGCAAAATGGAGTGTAGTGTTGGAGTTAGTTCCTCAAGAAGAGAGCATTGGTCGTAAAATGTTTAGGTGGCATGTGTTTTTACTCTCTAATATCCCCCTAAAAAAAAAGAGAGAAAAAAGAAAAGAGAAACGAAAAAGAGGTAATAAAATGGGGTAAATAAAGTAGAGAGTGCCACGAAAAACCAAAGTACATGCTCTAGGAGGGGTTTCTTGAACCCAAGCCATAGAAACCCCCACATTGTTAGAACTCCTTAACTACTAAACTTTAAAGAACTAGCAAGAGTTGACCGAGGAAGAGTGCTTCAAGGTAGTTCATGATGGGTGATATTCGGAAGGGAGAGATAAGGGTTTTGGCCAATGCTAGTGGCCTTTGATTGAAGAGAAGGGTTTTAGTCGAAACCATAGACCCTTTGGGTTTAGGTTGAAGATGTAGAACCTCACCTGTACATCTGGTCGCACAAATTGCATAGTATCATAAATAGCTATTCCGGGTATTACCCATCCACCGGGAGAATTTATAAACAAATACGTCATGATTGCTACCGCCAAAAAAGCCTTTTCACCATGTCTCAGTCAATCGCCAGTCATCTGAACCCGTGTCTAAGACCCTGAACGAGCTAGTGGTGACAACCATCCCGTGAACTCTAGCATTTAGAGGTTACCGCCGTGGTATTGAGACGATAGGGCCGAGAGGTTACGATTGTGCACATCTTTTCCACCAAAAAGGTCCCGACCCCACTGGTCTTGAGAGTGATTGATCCATTCTTGTTTTACTTACCATTTTTTACCCCGGAGAGGACCTTAGTTGCCTTTCCATTTGTTCCTCGGGCTTGAATTCCATGCATGGATGGTTGTCGTCGATAAGTGGTTTAGTTGAGATTTGCATTTATCCATGAATAAGTTGTGAACTTTTTGTTTGCCCGTTTTGGCGGCTTTGAATGTCATTTGTGGTGGATGTCGGTATTGCTTACAACGGTTCATGTGTTGATTGTCAATACACATCGAGAATTCCCACTTCGTGTCCTTTGAGTTGTCCCCAAAGCATTTGTGTAGGTTGAAATATTACCGTGTGCGTGAAATGGTTTGCTTGGGGACAAGCAAACGTCTAAGTGTGGGGGAGTGATTCGGGCCTAATTGCACATGTTTTGCCCCCATTTTACTTAGATGCTTGTGCCAAATTTTCTCCTTAAAGGTCGGTTTTATGCTAGGTTCTTCGTGTTTGAGTGTGTTACAGGATTTAACAGGTGAAACCAGCCTCAGAGTCGAAAGATTGGGGAAAAGGATCGAAAACCAGGAGAAGAGGTAAAAAAGCGCCAGTTCACGGTTAACTAAAGGAGTTCACGGTCATGCAAGACCGTGAAGAAGGAGACTTGATAGTGAATCGCGAGGCGTTTGATGGTTCACGATCGTGAACTCAGCTCTTCTCGGGTTTAAAAGCTGAGCTGCAAGGAGGAGAGAGGGAGAGCCCACTTTTGTGAGAAACACCTTCTTCAGCATTCTAGTGAGAGAAACAGAACCAAAGGGAAGAAGAAGGTTAGGGTTTGGCTTCAAGGCAGATTTTTGGGAAGATTTCCCCAATGAAAGCTCAACTCAAGAGTCAAGAAGAGAGGAGGCATCCCCAAAGATGGTTTCCACCTTTTTCCCTTCTGTTCTTCTCACTTCTACCATGGAGTAGACCTCATTTCACTTGGGTGTAGTGAAACCCTAACTCTACCATGTAGTTTTCTTGTATGTGGCTTGGATGATTTTTATTGAGTATTGTTCAATTGAATGTTTGAGACATTATTGACCATGATTGTGCATTCTTGTGCTTAGCAACTTAGGGGTTGTGCATGTTTTGTGCTTAGCATCCTAGGGATTGTGCATAATTGTGCTTAGCACCCCTAAGTTTGTGAATTTAGGTGCTAGTAATCTAATTTATCACCTTAGCCTAGTTTAGAGAGGAAAATCCCCCTTTCAAGGGAGACTCAATCGAGTTGGTTTTCCTTCCGGTTTTTAAGCCACCTAAACTAGGTTGAGTTAGGGCAACCCTCAATATTGAATTAAACAAGTTGATTAATCGTGGTTAAACTGTCCGACCTTAGAGTTGAGTGAGGGAGTAAGTCGATTACCGATTGTCTAAACCGAGAGGGCCGAGTGACACGGCCTTTCATCCTTGCCTCGGTTTAGCAATTGAGACCGTGGTCTCCGACCACATACGCTTTCCTCTGCGGTTCACGATTAACGTGCCCAAGGCAATCGTTCCAATCCACATAGCATGGAAGCAAAACCCGTACTGGAAATATAATTGTGGGGGGAATTCCTTTTTCCTCCCAATGATTGAGATTGACAATTATTTCCACGTATGGTGCATGTTTGTCGATTTTGCAGGATGCTAAACGTGGAGCACGAGTACATCAGCTACTTGGTGAACCATGCAAGGTTCGGGACCAAGTTTCATACCAGAGGGACAGCCCGATCGGGCCACATTGGCGGCTAGACCTGGACATGTTTAACTTGTTTAGGTGTCGAGCCGAGATGTCAGGGTTCGCCTGTCACCCCCAGTGGCGCCAACTGCTATCTTTGGACGAGTTCATCTACCACGAGCTCTGCGTGGAGTTCTACTCCACCTTCGCCCACGTCGTCCCGACTAGCAAGAAGAGTCTGCCCTACGTGGAGTTTATACTGGGCAGTCAGCCACAGGTCTGACTTAGGATGCATTCGCCTAGGCCATGGGGCTCGACACGACATATATGACGATGACGGAGCGGCAGTACTCCGTCGACTTCCATTACCAGGCCGCATTCTAGGCCCTCTTCCGCTCTGAGCACGAGGAGGACGAGTTCGAGGCTAGCCGTACCAATGCGGTGGAGCTGAGGACCCCGTGGAGGATCTGGCACACGCTGCTCACTCGAATTGTCTTCCCTAGCTCGCAGTCCAGCCACCTGCTCACGAACAAAGGGCCGCTTGCTCTCTTTTCGACGAGGCATCCAGCAGAGTTGATCCACTTGGGATCTCTGATAGCCACCTCTTTCGCCCGGTGTCTGGGGCGGAACAGGGTGGACACTTTTAGTTTTAGACCTTTGTTTTCACCAAAAAACTAATCCGCTAGATAATGTTTCAAATATTCGAAGTAGCGGTACGTGGGCCGACCCGGGTTGATATTTAAACATACTTACCCTATATTGCACCCATTTAAGGTTTATTCTTGGGCCTTAGGTGGGATTTTATTGTGATAGTCAGAGCAACTTAGATATTAAGCAATGTGACAGATTCTTGACCATTCGAATTGGTCATTCCTTCGCGGCAAATTTTATTACATTTTGTCAGTTGTTTTATGCATTTTTCTAAGTTCTAACATTGCACACAACCCGTGAATGACGATGAACTCTAACATGAAAAAAATACACCAGTTTTTTATTTATATTTATGTGAATTGCTTAATTAATCATTCTATAGACCCGTTAATTCATTCAATCACGCAAAATTACATATAATATCAAGTTTTGTCACGAAAAATTAGAAAACATGTCTACAAATGATGATCCAAAACTCACTTACGTGCATTACCACTACCTCTCTTGTTAAGGATATTTAGTAAAAGTGGTATTGGATTGGGTTAGAGTGTCACATGTTTTTCAACCAATATAATATTTTATTTGAGACTTCATATAACTTTAAAAGCTATTCATTCAAGAGGCATTACCACTATCTTAGTTTTGATATAATTCGATTGCGGCCTCATGCGTTTTGGCAGGACATAATTTGTAGTTTATTTTCATATAAAAGTTCATGCATAAAAGATGCAATTGAATAATAAATCTTCAAAATATTGTGTTTGAAGTATAACATGTGAAACAACTTAGTCGATCAGATAAAAAAGCACTCATCACATGATGGTAAAAACAAGCAACAAAAATGAGTGGTTAAATTAGGTACCATGTATATGTAACAACAAAAAAGTACAACCAGTGGCCAGTACCCACCCACTCCCAAAATAAAGTTAACCCAAATCCTAAAAAGGATGAGAAAAAAATAAGAGTTAATTACCCCGGTCCTTGGCGAAAAAACTGTAAAAAGGAAAGAAAAGCAAATTTAATTAAAGGGTTTAAGGCAAAGGAAGCAATTAAGATTCAATCTCAAATCTACTCTTATTTGAGCCCATGGAAATGTCAATCTCGAACAAGTTATCATCCTCTTCGATCACCACGAATTGACGTTTGTGGTCTTTGCAGCTTGAGCGGATCACGAATTCCCCGCCAGGAAGCGCAATCTCGATCAAGCTCTCTTCGTCCGAGATGTATCCTCCGTCCATGAAATCCGGGCTCTGGAACATGTTCCCCTGAAACGGCCAGTAGTCCACCTCCGATTCCTCGCTCGTAGACGACAGCCTCCCTTTGCACTCGCCGTCGGTCAGCTCTCTCCGCCTCCTCGCTTCTTCTTCTTCTTCTTCTTCTTCTTCTTCTTCTTCTTCTTCTTCCACCACCTCCTCCTCTTCCTCTTCCTCTTCCTCTTCCTCGATCAAAGAACTTTGCTCTTGTTCCTTTGAATATTGCTGCAGAATACCTTCGAAATCTAGGGTTTGCTGAACTAGAGCTGTCTCTGTAATTGGGGTTTGTTGCGATTGGTGAAGTTTCGATCTGGGGATAAGGATGAGTACTAGTGCTGTGAGGAAGATGGAAGCTGAGAATCCATAGCCAAGGAGAGTGGATAGGATTAGGGGAAGGGGAGAGAGGAAAGATATGGTGGAAATGTGGGTTCTGAAGGAAGTCATCTTCTCTGTTTTTTTCTAGGGTTGATCAAACCTGAAATGAAGAGGAATAAGTTATGGGTAATCTAAGCTACAGTGGTGAGAAGGAAGAACCGGTAAGTTTTGCACATTGGGTGAGGATGGATAGAGATGGAGAAGAGCTTGAGATATAGAGGGTACTATAACTGATTAACTGGGAAGATGAGATCAATGAGAATGTATGTACCATCATCTCCCTCGTTCCCCCTTTAGGTGCAGATCTAGAGGACGAGAAGGCAAGACAGATGTTGCCTGAACTAGTTGGAGAGGAGGGAGTAAAGAAATGAGGGGTTTTGATGTGTAGTGGTTTGTTTATGAGATTTTGGCTTTTGGTTTTGGATGAAGCTTGGGAAGTGTGAGTCTGTGAAATGGGAAGCAAAGTGTTCATCAACCAGACGAATTAATATGGGATTAGAGATGTTCTACCATTCATGTTGGTTTTTGTTTATGCATGGGATTGGGCATTAAAAAAAGCTTGAGAGGGGATTCTCCTAGGAAACCCCAAAACAGTAACAAACAGCTGGTATCGCTGCATTGGGTGACAGTAGCAACTAGCAAGTATTAAGTAGGGATTAAGGGGTGGGGTGGTGCATGGATAATTGGGAAGAAGCCATGTGCTGATATCTGAGCTCACCACATGGCAACTGCTCCTCCTTGAATCAAACCAAACTTGGGATACAATGAGGAAAACAATGGAGAAGACTCAGTTTTTTTTTTCTTGGATATTAAAAAGGAAACAGAGAAAGAGCAGCAGAACGGGAAGAGGAAGGGAAAGTAGTTATAATGTCACAGGGAGTTCAGACTCCAGGAAATATGAATTGTTTATAGTTGGTTAATTGGTGCTAAATAGAAATCTATATTTGCCGTCCATAATTTCAAAATATAAGACGATTCTGTCTTTCTTCTAACTAAATCTTAAACTTATCTTATTTGTCCTCTCACAATCCAACTGCCGCCGACCAACTTCCTCCCTCCTCCGTCCTCCCGCAATCGGCGCCGACCAACCTCCTCCTCCCGCAACCGCCGACCTGGTCCCGTCTCCTCCTCCCTCACTCCCCCCTTCACAAATAGCCGACGCGGAAGAGAAAGGAGCTCGTCGTGCGGACGCGGAGGATGGGGTCCGACGTCGCCGGGCGGATGGGGTCCGCTGCCACCGTGCGGATAGGGTCCAACGCATCCGTTCGAACGGTTGCGCTGGCGACCTTTTTCTCTTCAAAAAATCAATTATTAATTATTTATAATTTAATTAAATATTATGTTAAATTTGATTTATGATAATTACGATTGAATGCAAAACACGTATGGAATACAATTTGGTAGTTATCAAACACGTATGGAATACAATCTATTAATATATTATTTTTTCAAATAAATAAGAATCAGTAACTTAGTATTAACGATTAATAATTATATTATTATGTTTGAACCTAGTTGCTCAGGACACGAACAATGATATTTGTTGTGTGGGTCGACTCGTCATCCGTTCGTCTGATCTCGTCGGGAGGGAAGAAACCTGTCAAAGAGTCGGGGTTGCCCCCCGGATTAAACTCCGACGATCAAGTAAGTGTCGGTTTGTGGAGAGAGTTGAGAGAACAGATAGAGAGACAAAGTATAGAGAGATAGTGCAAAAGTAGAAAAGTGAAGAGAGAGGAGAAGTCCCCCCCTTTGGGGGGGCTTCAAGCCCTTATATACCTGTAGCGCGTATCGCGCGTCGCGCATCGCCGATTGTCCGCCCCCCTACTTAGTATGTGAAGCAGTGTCCATGAAACCGTACCGTACCGGCGGTTCAACCACGAAATACCAGTATCGGAGGCTAAACCGGTAGGCGGTATTTACCGGCATAACGGTTGAACTACGATTAAACCACGGTTTTACCATAAAATACCCTACCGCTGACTTTCCCGGTACGATGTCCGGTACGGTTTCATGGACCAATTGTGAACGAAGTATTTAGTAACACCCCCAACAATTGCCCCCCAAGCTGGTGGTGAGTCTTAACTCATCGCCAGCTTATTATTATATATTTTTTTTAAATCTTCGTCGGTAATTTTGGATGGAGCCCTTTGTACCCCAGTTGCCCCCCAGCTGGTGGCGCGTTTGGTTGACGCGGTGCCAGCTTCTCGTCTTGCCCCCCGTTGGTGTATTTCATTAAGGCGTGTAGCCTTCACCCATTGTAGATTCTTCATGGAGCTCTCCTCGTCGGGGGTTTTTAACCCACAGTTTGGAGTTCTCCTCTTCGGGGTTTTAACCCTCAGTTTGGAGCTCTCCTCGTCGGGGTTTTTAACCCTCAGTTTGGAGTTCTCCGCTTCGGGGTTTTTAACCCTCAGTTTGGAGCTCTCCTCGTCGAGAGCTTGGTGAGTTTCTCATCTCCCACGTTGTTGGGTACATCTTGCCCCCCATCAGCGCCATTAACGCTCAGTAAAATATTTCAATATTTAATAATTATAGAGGGATAGAGTACTTAGCTTTATGGTGGCGAAACGGCGCGAAGAGTTGTTAAAATAAGACTGCTGCGCCAATGAATCACAAGGCGCGTATGTAGACTGCTGGTAATGTCGCTTGTCTGGCGGAGGAGTGGTGCGGGTTCGAGTCCTTGCGGCGGCGACATTTTTTTTACGCGAGTTGGTGGGTGTGCGCGGAGTGGAGCAAGGATGGGCCGCGTGCTGGAGTGGGGATTCGACTTGGGCTTGATTTGAAGAAGCTGGCGGAGCGGGCCGCGAGTTGGAGAGTGGCGGACACATTTGGCGCACGGGAGTGGGCCTTCTGGATCGCGAGTGAGGAGATATTAAAATAAGCTCTCCACGCTAGTGTGACCAATGGAGCCTTGTTGCATACTGGTTAGTGCGCTGCATAGTTTGATAGTGGCGCGGTTTCGATTCCTGGCGCCTACAAATATTTTTTTGTTGAGTAAAACCAGACTGGGCCGCGCGTTGGTCGTTGGCCCATCAGCCGCGAGAGGTGGACTGGGAGGCGGAGGCGGAGCGGTCATGGGCTTGGGCCGTGAGTGTAGTCAGGCCGTGAGTGTATGAAGCCTTGCGTTTTTGTTTTTGGTGTTGTTGTTTTTTTTTGGACTTTGTGGGCGCGAATAGTGCATGACTATTGCTATTTTTTGTTCTTTCGAACTGAGTGGGGGCGAATAGTGCATGACTATTGCTATTTTTTGTTTTTTCGAACTGAGTGGGCGCGAATAGTGCGGGACTATTGCTATTGCTATTTTTTGTTCTTTCGAACTGATTGGGCGCGAATAGTGCGGGACTATTGCTATTTTTTGTTCTTTCGAACTGAGTGGGCACGAATAGTGCGGGACTATTGCTATTTTTTGTTCTTGCGAACTGAGTGGGCGCGAATAGTGCGAGACTATTGCTATTTTTTTTTTCTTTCGAACTGATTGGGCGCGAATAGTGCGGGACTATTGCTATTTTTTGTTCTTGCGAACTGAGTGGGCGCGAATAGTGCGGGACTATTGCTATTTTTTGTTCTTGCGAACTGAGTGGGCGCGAATGTTAAAATTCAGACGCCACACTATTGAAACACAAGACTTGCTTGTAGTCTGGCGGCCGACTTCCTGGTATTGCTGAATGGTGGCGCGGGTTCAAGCCCTAGTGGTGACAATATAATTTTTGATGAGCTCCTTGTCTATGGAATGCGGGCCGCGAGTTGGGCTTCTGTAGGGCGGACTTGGATCCGTGACTTGGGCTTCGTTCACGCGAGGAAGCTGAGCGGGGTTGGTGTGAGAAGCGGTAAAGCAGATGATATAATAAGACATCCTCGCCTCTTAGATCAATAGTTGTTGTGTAGTCCACTGGTTCCACTTGCCTACACGCGAACCTTCGAACAAAGGTTCGAATCCCCACACCCGCGAGTGATTTTTGGAAGCGGGCCGCGGGTCCTTGGCGAAACGGGCCGGACGCGATGGGGATCCGTGCTGGACGGACTGAACGCGCGTCTGGCTAATGAGGGCCGCGGGTTCTTGGCGAAACGGGCCGGACGCGATGGGGATCCGCGCGGGCTGATCGTGGAGAGGGGATCCGCGCGGGACAGTGCGCTTGGGCGCGGGCCAAGTTGCAGTGGGCTTGTGGCGGGCTCAGTGTGAGGCGGGACGGTGCGCAACTGGTGATGTGCGTCATTAGTGGGTGGGATCAGGCCCGCTTGGAAGTGTGGACCCCGAATTGGAGTTGGAGCGGAGTAAACTCTTCATAATTGCGCGTCGCACCTTCTGTTGTCAACGACATGATGCAGTCCACTGGTCGACGCTTTAGTCTTGTGACCCTTGAACGTGGGTTCGAGTATTGGCGGCGCCCATATTATTTTTGATGTAGGAATGTAAGAGCCTTGAAGCGGAGTGGATCTGGCCCGCGCGTAAGGCGGATTGGGCCGCGAGACTTGGGCTTCAAAAGTCCGGGTCTGGCGGAGCGAAATATTGGGCCCGCGAGTTGCTGCAAAGCGTAGGCGGATGCTGGAGCCCGGATTGGGCCGTTGACGAAGTGGACCGCGAGCTGGAGTCGGTCTGTGTTGGCAGGGCCTAAGGGGGGTTTGGATGGGCCGCGTTGGATTGATGAGCGGTCTGGTCGAGTGACGGGGCTAAAATGGAAGGCGTGCCAACCAAAGCGGATGGAGGGAAAGCAGCCTCTGTACCCTGTACCTTCCTTTTGCTGGCCTCGAAAACCTCGCTTGCCTCGGTAAAGTCGTCCGCTTTCTTTTCCTGACAGAGAGGGAAAAAGCAGTTGTCGATGACTTTTGGGGAAGAGTGGGAGGAGGCCGACGTGACATGATGGTGATTACCACTCTTCTTCCTTTCCTCGTCGGAGCTATGGTGGCGCACACAACTCCGATGACCGGAGTACCTTAATCTGTCGCTTTTTTTTTTCTTTCTTCTTGGTCGTCGAAGCCGACGCAGCTGCAGTGGCGGATGAGAGCATTAAATCTCCTCCCCGTGGCAAGCTTCTCTCTCTTCTTTTCCTTGGATAATCTTCTTGGATCGGCCT